AAGGTTAACTTTCTGTGAGAAATAATCAATCAGAAGACTATGTTTTTCTGCTAACAATAATCTATAATAATGTACATGAAAATCTATAAATATGTGTTGATTTCCTTAATAAACGATCTGTTGCCTGGCCCTTGTCTTCTGTTGTTACACTATTTACTCTAATTACTTAGATTGTAATTATCTGAAGAGATAATAAAAATAAATTTGGCCTTTCTCATCCTGTCCAATTTGTCGTTATTGTTCTTTTTAAGAATTAGTGTATATCGATCGTTTGACTAATTCTCTCTCGCAAACTCTTAACTTTATGTGTACATTTTTACCGACTTCCTTCACTACATTTTGGTTCTTCTAAGTTTGAAAAATAAAATCGGCTTTCTCTACGATGTGTGACAACTGAATGTTGTTTCTGTCACATTAGTTAAGCGAAAATTGCTTTAAAATGGTAATTAAAGATATAAAAGTAGCTTTAAACATGAGCGAGATCAACTTAAGCAATAAATAAGCTAAACTAGGTTTATGAATAACGTTATACAACATACAGGTAAGCCTAGAAATCCCTCAACATTTGAAACTGGTTATGTATGGTGTATTCTACTGTTTGTGTTATAACTCATGAATGAAGCGAATGAACTGAAAATAATTAGCAGCAATTCCTATAAAGCAGCTGAATTCTGCGATACTCACAATTATCTTTATTACATTTAGAGTTTATGCTGATGGATAATGTCTACAAACAACTGACGGTGTACTTAAATCACTGGGCTATCAAATAATTTTTCCATTTAACAAAATACACCATACACGTTGCATGTAATGTTGTTTTAACAAATCAAATGAGTGCACTAAATTGTAACCTACTATAACGCACATTTTCAAAAAGGTTTCAACATTCTGCTGTGAATATTTTAAGGAAATGGCAGAAAATAAAATTCATGGACAGGCCAGTGGCTTGTTGATCTACGAAATAGGCCGTCTTGCAACCAGAAGTTCCTGATTTAAGACACTGGTGGTTGGTGCGTATTGCCGGAGAATCCCAAGCAAGCACGAAACATCTGTCCAGCACTCCCAGGCTTTTCAATGGTTCTCTACTCTAACTGATGTCAGCTCATGATGAAATCCTCCAACTAATTGGAAAAAGACTTATCATATTAATAATGCATTCTCTAGAGATAATATAATTGACCCCATGTCGTTTACCATCAGCTTGAAGATTTTGTACAAGGAGATAACTGTTTACAATAAAAGATTATATGTTCAAACCAACCTCACTTTTAACGGTTTGAAAAAATGTGGTCATTGGTTATATGATATTTATCATTATTAACTTCTTTTGTATTTCCCAATGAATGAAAACAAAACGATATTGTTTTTCAAGTGTTGGTTTGTAGGGATTTGATTGGTTTCAGGATTTCATCATGAGCTGACATTAGTTAGAGAACCTTTGGAAAACCTGGGAGTACTGGACAGCTGTTTCGTCCTAGTTTGGGACTCTTCAGCAGTACGCACCCACCGGGATTCGAACCCAGGACCTTCCGGTTACAAGGCGAGCTCATATACCATTAAGCCACTGGGACCCGATCCAATGGTCCTTGAATTCTAACTTCTGCCAATTCACGACATAGCGCGACCGCTAGCCAATGTCTTCGGCGAGTATTTGTCCTCACACCCGACCAGCTGCACCCTACTGGTCACGACTTCCCACTGGAACCCAGGTAACTACCTACCTGAATAGGGCCAGTCGCCAGTGAGCATCTCATTGGTATTCAAGTGTTGGTTTGTAGGGATTTGATTGGTTTCAGGATTTCATCATGAGCTGACATTAGTTAGAGAACCATTGGAAAACCTGGGATATTGTTTTTACTGACGTTTCGCTATTTAATGCTAATAGCTTTATCAAAGTATAATTAAACCGGAATTTGGAATGTGATGCGATCTACATCGGACAAACATCTCGAGAAATTCAAATCAGAAGCAATGAACACACGTTTCAGATAAACTACGTCTTCTTATTGTGTTGTCGAAAATTGTATGAGCTGTGATCAACATTTGACCTCGTACTTACAAATATTGGTCTATCTTTGTTAAACACTTTAAACAGAGCGTGCATGCGTATGTGGGTAAACATTTGACACAAGACATTTCATAACGTCTCCATGAAAAGATACAGACAGTCAGGAATTTTGACCAAGTATTATTAATTAGTGATGCATATCCACTTTTATTTATTAATCAGGACTTCCTATGTGTCAGCTAACATTACACCTTCATGTCTGTTCAAACTGCTAGTATCTAGAATTTTTATGATTAGACGTATTTTCGAAATTATGGTATTTAGGATTAGAGTTTAGTTGAAGCACCCTGTCGAACTCTAATGGTATACATTCAATTAGCATTTTATTTAAATTCACTACAATGCATGTTTATTCATAATTCTAAATGTTTGAATTACTTCCTAACCAACTTCATTCAGTCAGACAACTTTTAAACACGTGATGTTTTTATAATTTTTATAGTTGGTCATTTTTTTAATCAATTTTACTTTCAATAATATTAACAATTATAGTAAGTCATCTTTATTGTACGTGTTAATAGTAGCAAGCATAAACATGAATTAACACACTATTTAGCTGCCCTTTCATGATGGACTTAAAATGTTTAAGACTGTTTCAGTAATTAACTAGACTTTTAATCTCATGCATGGCCAATTATTGGTAAACTTTGTCTGTCTTTATAACCCAACTATATATGTCATTAATATATGCACAGAATAATGACAACACCAACAATAGGGAGTATAAATGATCAGTAGTACTTCCAATCAAAGAAGGAACCTCAGAAACCTTACGGAGAATTCTTAAAAATGTGGGAATATAAATAGCATCTAAACTCATGAAATAAATTAGGAACAAGCTTTGTCGGCTAAAGGATCAGTCTTGTGGAGCCAATTAAACAAAACAATTTAGTCTATCTGATACCCTGCAATGACTGTCAGATGTTTAAATATATTTTTTTTATAATTTTGATTACAGCTTGATTCCATACCGTATTTTTGGTACACGTATAGAATTTTCAGCATGTGCTATCGGTAGCCCAAATTTTACAGACCTACCATAGATATCCGGTGTGCGTCGGCAGGGAATCGAACCTCGGTCCATGTGCATGGTTGGCGAGAGTTCTAACCACCACCATAGGTAAAAACAGTAGAACAGGTGCAGTCAGACTAGCCCAGCCTCAAAACCTAGCAAATTCTAGATTGGGTGACCTGAATAAGATAAGAAATCTGGAGAATATTTCATCTATAGCACTAACTACATACAATGACACACAACCATGCAATAGGATGGGATAAGATGTCATTTTTAAAATCTAAGGAAACAGAGTGTAGGGAGAGATTGACAACAGAAGCCCTGCTTATCGGATCGACTGCAAACACGTGTAAAGGAATGATTCAACACCTGTCCCAGATACCTGGAAAATTCCACTACCCCAATGACGACAAATAGGAGAGAACAAAGAAAACCATAAAACTCAAATTTCGAAGTCGTGTGATTATAATTGATGGCATGATTAAGAACAATAAATTTTGTTCGAAACGTCCTCCGGTAAATAATACTGTTTCACTGTGTGATATATCTAATGAACAAACTAATATGGAATTACTTACTACCACAGTGACTACATTTTGCACATATATGAAATCGCAGAAGTTAGAATTCACGAACAGGTCATTGGATTGGATCCCAGTGGCTTATTGATCTACGAGGTAGCTCGTCTTATAACCAGACGGTCCTGGGTTGGAATCCTGGTCTTGGGTGCGTACTGCCGGAGAATCCCAAACTATGACGAAACGGCTGTCCAGTACTCACAGGTTTTCCAATGGTTCTCTACTCTAACTGATGTCAACTCATAATGAAATCCTCCAACCAATTGGAAAAAGACTCCGTGGAGTAATTAAGCATGCTCTGGATGGAACATAATTGCTTCAAGTGTCGCAATATCGACTACCATTTTGCTTGAGTATTTTGTACAAAGAGTGAATACTTTACAATAAAAGAAGTTGAAAATTCTATACTGTGCTTAAGATGAACGTTTCCGAATAAAGCTGTTAATACTATTGTTATTATTATCATTACTATTATGAATTTTATTATTATTATTATTATCATAATCATATTTTCACTTTTCATTTTCGTTTACAGCTTGATTCCACACCGCATTTTGGTACAAGTATGAAATTTTCAGCATGGATATCGGTAGCCGAAATTTTGCAGGCCGACCATAGATATCGGGTGTGCGTCGGCAGGGAATCGAACCTCGGACCATGTGCATGGTCGGCGAGAGTCCTTATCACTGTGCCACCGACGCACACTAATAAGCAGGTGTTCCAGTTTACCGATAATCTCTGTTAAAAGTATCAGTTACTGAAACTAAAAATTTGTCTGATTTTAATTCCGATTTCATAATGAATTAAAACTACTCAAAGATCACTTTAAACAATTGGGTAACTGTTTCGTCCTAGTGCAGAACTTAACAGAAGTTTGAGTTTAAAATACCACATAGGACCCACCGTAGCACTATTAAGGTGTACCAACAAATTCTATACGATTTAGTTAATGAATCAGAATATAATGGGCCAACATTAGTTAGTTTGTGAGACCTTAGTGATATGTGTCACGGTAATGCTTTCTCATGCATAAGTTTCGACCGATTGAAATGTAATACCCACCTATTTTTAATTCTACAATAAGAGTGCTTTCTTATCAGGACTATAATTACCCTTCCACGTAGTACACTCTAATGTTTAACTAACTTTTTTATACACTCGTCATAATGGAATACTTCAGCTATAAATATCAGTATTTTGCATACTAAAACTAAGCTACTAATTATCATTAAATGAACCGAAATAAAAGGTGAAAACTATCATCACTATTGTTAGGCTTATATTAGTTCAACTATCAAATTCAAAAGCGGAGCAGAAGAAAATATGAATTGGTTACCTCAAGGAGTACAGACGTAAAGATACACTGTTCTCGCCTTTCAGCAGCCAATTTTACATACAACTGATTGTGTCTATCAACTTCTTATCTAGATACACACAAATGAGCACATTTATTGGCTATATGTAAGCGTCAAATCACAAACAAGGTTAAACATAAGCTTTAATGCAATTTGTCCAATCATAAATGACTTAAAAACCAATTCAGAATATATTGTAACTAGGGTGAGAGACAGATAAATTATTACTAATACTAACTTTTAATATGCTGTTAGTGTGATAGTACTTACTGCAGACTCAGCTGATTTTAAATGAAACCCTGGATTGTGTTCTTGACGCTTTCTACTGCTATTGGTGGATATTATTCTCGATTTTGCATTTAACATATCGGGAGATTAAACTAAATCTCATTGATAGACTGACTTCAGATTTTACGTAGCGGGAGTAAAACATAGATACAAAAGTCAGTTGACCTTGAAACAACCAATCAGAACGCTCAGTATTATAAAGAGATGCTATTCATAATCTTTGTTGCAAGTTTCACCCAGATTCGGACTTTGACTTCTGTGAGGAAAAAGGGTTGATAGGGTGGACTAAAACATGAATATGTGGAGGAATAGTAACACTTCAGAAGTATTGCCGGGCTATTGATGGTTATGCATTCAGATGCAATTACTGTTATATCAAGATGTCTGTGAGAGTTGGTAGGTCGTACATTAGGGTGATATTTTAGATATTTTCTTGTCGAAATCGAAACTCTCCCTTAACAAAATATTGCATATATGCCACAAATGGCTACTGAAACGAACAGTAGTTGCTACGGCTGCAGAAACAGGTTACTAAAATGTCAATCAGTTGGGTAGTATCAGCATTGTCGGGATATCGCGTTACAAAAGATCAATGGAATTACTTCTATACTTGAGAGAACTGGTGTCGTCGTTCATACTGACGAAACAGTACTTGTTAAATGAAAAATGAATCGTGGTACTAGAAACGCAAACCATGTTTTCTGCTGGGATTGTACGCCATAAATCTCCTAAAACGGTTAGTAGAAAGCATCCCAAACAAAAGTACCGATGTTTTAACACCAATAATACAACTACTAGTCCACTGAGGCACTAAAATTCACACAGACGAGTGGAAAGGTTATTTGCAGCAATAAACATTAGGCTGTGTTCATCAAAGAATCAGTCATTCTTCTGAATTAGTGGAGCCTATAAGTGGAAACCATACAAATTCTATTGAAGGATTTTGGCCCGTCTAGAGAAATATATTAGAATGGTAAATGGTCCCCGAAGTGAAACGATATACAACCACTTAGATGAATTTTCGCATTGACATTGGATTGATGTACCTATTACCACTCCTATGAGAAATTGGGACCGATTTCTGCAATACATTAGAGATATATATATCCTGTGAAATTTATTTATATTACATATATATCTTATGAATACACCTTTTTATACAAAAAATGACAGCTTTCACCTAGGAGATATAAGAGTAGAACTTGTGCAATGTGGTAGAGTATAATTCGATTACGGGTGTAATATATTTTGATAAGGTCTCGTAGTGTTGTACAGTAATATTTACTAACGACGTTTCGAGCACAATTGATTGCTCATAATCATATCAAGGTACTCACACAAATTCCTAACTTCATTTAGATAATTCCATTATTTTCTATCTCTTGACTTGATTGGCAGTAGTATTTCCCATATTTCCAGTATGAGTGATTAGTCAATCCTATCGCATGTATTAGGTGTAGACTCGACGAACAAGGATTCAGTAATCAACCTCTCTCTCTCTCTCCCCACCTACCTATATTAATTCTTAGAATTTCAATCCTCTCCCACCCTAATGTGTGATTGTGTGTGGATGCATGCAGTGGGATTGCTGAGCTTTTTTCTAAATTACTTATCTTCGTGGGGTCAACCATTCTTACCTTATTACAAATTATTTAAATTAATCCCAGCGTGTTAAGAAAATCAAAACAAGACTTTTCCGAACGTTTCACTGTGTAAGCCACGGCTTGATAAATCTGATGAAGAAGCCGTGGCTTACACAGTGAAACGTTCGGAAAAGTCTTGTTTTGATTTTCTTAACACGCTGGGATTAATTTAAATAATTTGTAATAAGGTAAGAATGGTTGACCCCACGAAGATAAGTAATTTAGAAAAAAGCTCAGCAATCCCACTGCATGCATCCACACACAATCACACAATAGGGTGGGAGAGGATTGAAATTCTAAGAATTAATATAGGTAGGTGGGGAGAGAGAGAGAGAGGTTGATTACTGAATCCTTGTTCGTCGAGTCTACACCTAATACATGCAATAGGATTGACTCATCACTCATACTGGAAATATGGGAAATACTACTGTCAATCAAGTCAAGAGATAGAAAATAATGGAATTATCTAAATGAAGTTAGGAATTTGTGTGAGTACCTTGATATGATTATGAGCAATCAGTTGTGCTCGAAACGTCGTTAGTAAATATTACTGTACAACACTACGAGATCTTATCAAAATATATTTCATCCATAACGGAATCTGGAGAATCTGATTGGTTGGTTCAAGGTTATTTGACTCTGGTGTCTATTCTATAGTGTTTCCTTTTGCACAAAAGTGTATTGCTTCCACTTGTTACACTTCAAAATACTTTGTGGCAGTATATCTTGTTTGATAGTTAAACCAAGGCAATAGGCTTTAGAGTTAAACATATTTAACTGCATCGTCATTGTTTCATGATAGTATAGGTGACCTATTGCAACAAAAATGATTCTTGTGTACCTGTATCCTAATGGGCATGCATTAACATCACATAAAAGTAGCATAAGAAAAGACAAAAGACAGATAAAGAATGATACTACAAAAGATAAATGATGGAAGAGATGAGGAAGTTTAGAATTTTGAAGATGAATACATTTGAAGTATGGTGAGTAACTTTGAGCTGTGTCATTAAAATTCTCTAACCCAAAAGATTTCAGGCAGTTAATCTACACTTCCTTACATGGATCAGATAAGCAGACTGAAACTTCATTATCAGATGTCATTTTTTTGTTCTGACTGCCAATAACTCTACGCCAGCTCGATACCAATTAAGCCACCAACCATCACTGAAGAGAACTGTGTCTCTCTGAGTTAAACAATACTTGTCATCTGTGAAAAGCTTGAAATGTGTCAAATTATTATAAATGTATTTGTAATGAGTGTTTTCACACAGTGACAAGTTGTCATTTGGTTAGTATTTTGAGAAAATTACTGCCTATGGTCACACCGATGCACATATACCTACACAGTCAAGTAAAATATAGCGTTTCTCTTGCAATAAGTCATTTCTTATATCCAGAACGATGTTTCATGGAAGTTTTGAGCAGTTATTCTCTTGAACAAGGTCTAAAGGTGTGTTCTACAGCCATGATTCTGCATATGTTCACAAATGTATATAAATCGCTTACAAAAGCCGGTGTTCCTCAAGGTGCTGTCCTCTCTCCTTTTCTTTTTTCTTTCTTCCTACACGACCTGCCTCATTTAAACGAAACTAACCTTGTCAAATATGCAGATGATCTGACTGTATCACTGCCTATCACTTCCGAGCACGACTGCTCCAAACTTAATAGCTTTCTATTGGACATCAACAAGTGGTCTGAGTCAAATGGTCTTATGTTAAATACTTCCAAATGTCAGGCAGTTAACTTTACTTTCAACCATCGACGTGACTTACATGAACTAGTTAGTTCGCATGATGCCTGTAGCGTAGACGGCACAGAAATTAAAACCAAGTCAAGCATTAAATACCTTGGATTAGTTCTTTCCTCTGACCTTTCATGGTCATCCCACATCTTACCTATCTCTAAGAAAATGTTTCGTCTTACCTTCTACATTAAAAAGTTAAGACAATCAGGTATCAACCAACCTTTAATTTTGCAATCTTTAAACTCCTGTATTTTACCTATTGTACTCTTTTGCTCTCCATTAATCTATCCCGGGCTTCTCAAAAAAGATTATATCATATTACGAAGAGTATTTAATGCTATGAGTAGGGCTTGTAGTCTGCCACTGCGTGAGCTCGCCAATACTATGGTAGAGAGACACATAAATTCCTGTACAAAATGGGCATAGGCTGTACTGTCAGACCCTCAAAACCCCGTTTATTCACAACTATCTCCTTGTATCTCACCAGGTAGGACGAAAAGTCAATATAAAAAGTTATATGCTCGTACCATTAAGTATAGAAATTCTACAATACCATATTTAGCCCGTACTTTATGTGACGAAGACTCTGTTAGACGTGAGACTTATAAGTTACTATGTAATTAGCACAGTGAATCGACCCTTTCATTGTTCATCTTTCTGTACTATATGGTGTCACATTTCTATCGTTTAATTTTTGTTATTATTATTATTGTATCCTTTAGTTCCTAGAGGAACATAGGGCTTCAGCTGCGCACCTCCATTGCCTTCGGTTTTCTGACAACTTTTTCACCCTTCTCCAGGTCTGTCCACACGTTTCCATCTCCTCCTCGCATGACCTCCTCCAAGTCACCCTTGCAACCACGACCAAGTCGCCGCTTCCCGTTTGGGTTCCACTCGAGCGATGGCTTGTCTAGTGATGTCACTTGATGGTTTCCTCAGAGCATGACCAATACATCTCTATGTCTTCCCTCCTATTTGTTGCACAATCGGTTCCTGGTTTGTTTGCTCCCAGATACCCCTCACTGTTGCTGATATTTTCTGGCCATCTGATCTTGAGTATTTAGCGGAGACAGCTGTCAATGAAGGTCTGTAGTTTGTTCGAGGTACTCTTTATAACGCTCCAAGTCTCTGATCCGTATAGTAGTACCGACTTCACATTGGAGTTGAAAATCCGGATCTTATTTTTGATGCTGAGTGCTGTTGACTTTCCTATTTTATTTTAGTTGTTATTACTATTATTACTACAATTTTGTACTTTATGCATATTTATCTCCGTATAGCATACAGTAATTTGCTATGTAGATGCTATAACAACGTTTTATTGTTATTGTGTAATGCTTATTTTTATATTTTTTTGTCGTTTTTGAGTAAATTAGATTCAATACTGTACTGAATGCTGAAAATTCCTTAC